TTAAAAAAAAAAAAAAAAGAACATAGCTATGCTTACTACACTCAAAGGAACCATCAAAGCCATCATTAAAAAGGCAATACAGAGGGACCTGGTAGAGAGTTACATGAGAATAACTTAATGAGATATGAATGGCAAGTATAAAGGAAACTTTGAAGAGTGACATATGACATGGTCAAGAAAGAAAGATTTATTTTAGTAATAGTTTATTACTGTTGAATGAAAAATTCTAACTAAAAATTACGATAAGTGAAATTTAACTGTTTCTTGGTCAGCTGAAATTATTGTATGATGATTTCATTTTAGGATGGAGAAAGTGGGGCCCAGAGAGGTTTAGCAAATATCCTAAGCCCACACTCTGCTAGCCTGTGGGAAACACTGGCTGTGGGAAACTCTTTCTTTAGGCAGGTGTCCTGATTTGGCACTAGGCAGGGCATGGAAATTCGGTGAGTGAATTTTAATATTCCATACACAGACTCTAACTCTAGGACTTCATAGATGAGAAGGAGTTCCTGCGGGCTGCATAAGATCTGGGATAGCTCTGGATTATCAGTGAGAAGGGAATTGATAGAGAATGAGAAAAAATGGAGAGGTGAATTGAGACTCTATTTACTCCAAAGGCTCCCTTCTCTTGATATTCTCTCATCCCTCCTCCCCACTCCTTTCTCTTCAGAGCATTCACTGAATGTGTTCTATCAGCCAGAATGACCTGAAGTTTTAACATCAAGAAGGATATTCAAACCAAAACGAAAAGCATTCTTTTCCACTCTTGGATCAAAACCAGTTGTTATCAGACAGAGGAGAATAATCCAGGAGCAGATATTACTGCAGTTTCTTATCCTGTCTCCCCCCGTACCTGATCCTCCATCATTTGCCAGAGAGTTAATGGGAGCTGAAATGAAAATGCTTGCTGCTTTTAGGTGATTTGTTCATGTCCTCTAGAAGCAGAATGAGGTTCTAATTTTAGGAAAAGTTAAAGAAAATATTGTTGCATGCTCACACAGTGGGGAAGGAGAAAGTTATGAACATTTTTTTTTCAAAAGGTGGTAAAGCAACTACGATCTTAACAATGCTCTTTGGTGCTCCTGTGGAGACAGACTAATCAGTTGGATAAAGCGTTAGTTTAAACAAGTATAACGCATTTTATGGTGTTTAATTTGGGGAGATAAAATGCATATAGTGGAGATTTTATACTTCATTAAGTATGTTTCTTTGTGTAAAGATAATGCTCATGAGTATTTGGGATGTGAGTGTGAATGAGGGAAAGATTTACAAATTGGATTTGTAGAAAGCCAGAGAATGGATGGATAGCTTAATGAGATGAGAAAAGTCTGAGGACATTTCACCTTTCTGTGAACAAGATGGGCTGAGCTGGCAGGTCAGGTCCGACTCACTGGGCTCCCACTAGGCGTGAGCGATGGCTCTGTGTCTCTGGGCCAGCACCGGCGCTGGGGCTTCCGAGCAGGAAAGCTCATTAAAGTGTTTTATTATTCCAAGATCATTGTCAACTTGAATATCATTATCTGGAAAATGTTCTGTTTTCCGCTCCGATGGTGAGATCCTGGGCTGTGTCCAGCTAGCTCAGGTCTGTAATACAGCCAGTATACACTGAGTGAGAAGCTTGACATTTTCAGTTCTATGACCTTCATGTTTTTAAATGTTAAATCATAATGTCACATTAACATAACACAGAGCTTGATCCTGAATTTTCGCTAATTAAACCATAGAGAATTAGAGGAATGGTTACTATGAAATCATTTTCTTTTCAGTTTAGTTGTAAAAGGCTCTATATTATGTCTATGAGCAAAGAAAAATTTTATCAACATTTCACCTATGATTGCCAAAATTTCTGGACATTATAGTTATAGATTTTATGAACTGTTAGTACCTTTGGAAAAAGTTAATATGACATTTAAATTCATGTCTTTTGTCATAAATTACCAGTTTATCACTTTCTTCATTGAAATCATTAAAAATCTGTCTATTTGATGAGCATAACAACCATTACCCAGAACAATTCTAGAGCTGGAGAAATTTTGAACTCCCATACACATGAGACTGTATTTGAGGGTTACACTGTTAATTTCCATGATCTTAGATTCGGAACTATTCTAAATATCATCTGTTGCATTTTGAGGTTGTGCAGATTCTGAATGTTCAATACAAGAAGACATTGGTTTAAAGTGTTGCTTTAACACTTACTAGTTCAGAATAATGAGGAAGCATTGAGCTAATACATGTGAACATTCTTTGTAAATGGAAGTAATAATTATTTTGTGCTAAAAATATTGACAAGATTTTGTCATTGGCTTATTTATGTTTATCTTTTTTTTTTTTTTGGTGATACTTCACATTTATTTGCAATGAAGGAGTATCCCATAAAAATTTTATTAGAAAAGCACTTTACCCCTGAGCTGTGTATACATTTTTGCAAAGGCTTCGGTCTTCACTTACTTAATCTGTTTAGAAATTTGAATCTGAAATTTTCACTTGATGATGTCTTTTGATTGTGGTTAAAGAGGTTTTATTATTTTTCAGAGAGATGCGCTTAGAATTCATTAGTGAATCAATCTAATTAGGTGTGAGGAATGTAGAGAGATATAGCCCAAATCAAACTTTAAAAAAGGGAACTCTTTTAGGTACTCTGCTATTACAAAGGTGAAAAAAATGCCGTGAAAATAAAAATATATTAATTTCATTAAACCTCACATTTTAGTATTGTTTAAAACCTTATTTTGGTATTAGCCATTGAGAAAGGATGTCTATAACTTTCCTTTCCTCAGGAAAAAACCCTAACAAATCAGAATAGGTATTTGATTCATTTATTCAACTCATTTTACACACAATTTTGAGGCTCCGTTACCCACCTGGCATTGTGATAAGTGCTGGGAAACAATGATGAAAAATTCACAGCTCTTGAGTTTAAGAGGTTTACATTCTAGCTGAGAAAAAAAGGCTTATCATCAAGGAAGGACTGTAACAGAAATCTGAAAATCTATATGCAGTGTAGTGGAGGAAGTTCATCCCCATAATCAGGAATGGGAGAGAGATTGCGGAAGTCTTTATGGAGGCAATAGAATTTTAAGCTTGGTATTTAAAGAAAAACAGGATCTTCCCTCATTATTTTTTCTGTAATTATGAAAATAAAAGCAACACAATTATTCTTAAAGATCTGTCTGATGTGACTCCAAGAGGAACTTGGTGCTCTGACATGATCTTCTATGAGTGAGAATCCTGGTTTTATTAAAGTGACAAGGGAAAAGCCAGAGTCTGGGGGTTCAAAGGCATTAAGTGTTTAAGCCTTTTGTGGTAGGACTCCCTTGGACTCTTGTGATGTGTGGCTGAGCTGTAGGGTTTTTGGTGAAGGAATGCTGAGGGAGGGTGCTGGGGGGCAGCTGGTGAGGAAGGTGGGAATGGGGACAATAGGAAGCAGAGGGGCAGCACTTATGGGGTGGTGAGCAGGGCCTTCTTTCTTGAGGCCTAGAGGACTGAGGCAGGGTCAGCCTCTCTCACTGTTTGTTCACTTGGATCACTGCTGTTTGCATCTTTTCTTTTTCTTCAAATGTAGCTCAGGTAACTCTCTAGCGAATTTTCTAGATACACCAGTGATTCCCTAACCTGGTGAACTTTTTAAACATACAGATTCTTGGGTCAGTCACAGACTTACAGAATCTCGAAAAATGGAGCCTGGAAATTCCATATTTTTAAAAAGTTTTATTGAGATGTAATTCACATATCATAAAATTCACCCCTTTAAAGCGTAAAACTGAGAGGTTTTTAGTATATTCACAAAGTCAACATGAATTATCCAACATTTTCACCACTCCAAAAGAAAATGTTGTACTCATTACTAATCAATCTCCATTTCTCCCTCCCCCATCCTCTGGCAAATGTAGTAATGGACTTTCAGTCTATGAATTTGTCTATTCTGAATATTTCATATAAATGGAACCATACAACATGTGGCTCCTTGTAACTGACTATATGTGCTTCATTCATACTTTTATTGCTGAGTAATAATTCATTGTATGGATATACCACATTCCATTTATTCACTCATCAGTTGATGGACATATGGGTTGTTTTCACTTTTTGAATAATGCTGCTATGAACGTTTGCATAGTCATGTTTTCACTTCTTTTTATTTATTTGTTTGTTTATTTTCACTTCTTTTGGGTATATATCCAGAAGGGAATTGCTGAGTCATGGTAACTCCGTGGTTTACAATTTGAAGAGCTGTCAAACTGTTTTCCAAAGTGACTGTATCATTTTATGTTACCACCAACATTGCATGAGAGTTTCAGTTTCTCCAAATCCTTCATAGCACTTGTTATTGCCTGTATTTTTAATTTTAACCATCCCAGGGTGGGTGAAGTATCTCATTATGGTTTTGAATCGCATTTCTCTAATAACTGATAGATAATGTTGAACATCTTTTCATGTTCTTATTGGCCATATGTCAACCAGAGGATACTCATTTGTGAGTGTATCTTCTTGGAAAATATCTGTTTATATCACTGTCCATCTTTAATTGGGTTATTTGCCTTTCAATTGTTGCGTTGTAAGAGTCCATGTTTTTTAAAAATCTACCTCTGGTGGCTATACAGATAATACTTGGATGGACAATAGGAAACTAGGGTTGGCAACTGACATACCTAACTTGGGCTGAACATTGAAGCCTTTACCTTGAGATGCATGAATTAGTTTTGTGTAGTACTTTATTTTGTTGTTTAGTAAACAAGTAAGGCAATATGATTTAATGGAATTATCTGTTAGGTACATTTATCTTCCTTGGCCAGCTGTTACCAAGTTCATCTTTCTGTGCACTACCATTAAGTGTAAGTGCTTTGTGAGCCTCTTTCCTCAGATCACCTCTTATCTTAAGCTACATTCTTCCTTTGAAGGATTGTCTTCAATCTTGTGATGATATAGCCCTAGCTCTCATCTCTTTTCTGGACTAATATATTCTATTGTCTATAAGACTTTCTCATCTGGATGTCCTGTAAGTACTATAAACTCAATATATCAAAACCTCAACTACTGATCAACCTTCACAAAGCTTTTTTTTTTCAGTGTTCCTGATTTAAAGACACTAGCTCAGTCACTTAAGTATGTGGAAGCATAACTTCTCAGGCTGAGCTGATTGCATGATGAACCCCTGAGGTATGCCAAGCATTTCCTAGTCCACATCCTTAAGAGATTTTGATTTAATAGTTCTGGGATTGGCCAGGGAATAAGAATTTTACAGTTTCCCCAGGTGCTTTTGATAACCAGCTGGTTTGGGAGGTCACTGTAAGAGATTCTGTAAACTGAAATATCTCAGTACCCTCCCCCC